TTTGTTGTGCTTTCACATAAAATTATCCCGCTGAAATAGCTAATCCCTGCAGAAATCATCATCTTAAACCGGGACTGTCATAAAGCATAATATTTTGTATCCAAATTTCAGTCATACAGTTTTATTTATAACGACACCACCTCATGACTGAGGGGCTGGCGGAAACGCATGTATGCTGTTGGCTACCAGATAACCAAAATGTACCGAATGCAGCTGTGTTAACCAATAATTAAATGAGTTTCTTAAATAAGTTCTCTGTTTTTTTCTGTGGCAATTGTCATTTAGATTGTTTCCTCTTTTGGCAACCAAGCAAACCTAGCTATTATGAACAGTTAGCTCTAAATCCAAAGAATAAATCGTCCATCAAGAGAGAAAAGAATAAGCACTGACGTAGAAAGTCCACAAAGCCACGCATACGTGCCTTAAACTAAGTGCCTATACTGCACTAAATTGACTGCAAAAGAACGTTGTCTTAGCTGAGGTGTTCTTAAAGGAGTCACAGCCCCTGCGTATTGTGCATTTTAGGTTTCCAGATCACTAATTATTCGAGCGTGCTACAACCGATTTGCTATTTAACCGAAATTTGTCCGCAAGTTTATAGCTGATCATAATTTTGTCGGATTCCGAGACTGGAGTAATGCTTACTGAATGAAAGTTTTTGTGGAATAGAAGACAAAGAAGAGTGCCTCGAACGAATCACATCACGCCTATACCATGCGTAAACGATAACACAAACCTCGTGTGCAGAACCCGTTATTCCTGGTCTCGAAAATTGTCCCTCTGGCGGCATTGTGGCCGGGCAATAGCAACACGCTAGCCAAACATTCGATTATCTGATTAGTTCAAGCTCACAATATTCAAGACCATTCTGAAATCCGATGACTTGCGGACCCACGTGCAAGACTGTTCGAGAAAAGCCAATTTATGTTCTGGATTAGTTCGAGTTCGTCTGGAGCACTCCAGCGCTCCTAATGCTTTTCAGAGCGTCTTGACACAAATTCTTATACACTGATGCATTTAGGCAGCTGGTCAGTTAAACATCCCAGATTCGTATTTATTTTAATAATGTAAAATAGCTTCAGTTATAAAAGCAGCGTTAAAAACTGTTGCAGCATTTGAGGTAGTACCTATTCAGGATACATCCTCGTCGGAATAGTATAACTGTTTGTGGAGCTTTGCAAAACGCTAATCTTTCGAGTGCAGAAAAGTATCCTCATTATACCTTTCATGCCCGGCAGCAGACATATGAAACATTTGAACGTAGCGGTGTATGACTCTTTCTGGATGTCAATAATAGTTAAATAGCAGAGGCTTTACCCGTTCATTATCTTTTCTGTAGCTCGTTGCTAAGATGATGGCAAAGAAAAAGGTTTGTTAAAAAAAATGCTTTGTTTAGTTTGCAGCCATTTTACACGCCGCTCTTAACGCTCCTTCCCATTCGCTCCTAACTCCTAGAGATTAATTGGGTTCATTCCGCTTCGCCTTCGCGTTCTTCCCCTCCCTCACAGTAGCCGACCCAGTTTCTCGTTGAGTTAAACTCCTATATTGTTTTCCTTTTTCTTTTCAGGAACAACGCTTGAGCCTTCTTGTACGTTTCAAAATAAAATTCCACCTTTGCATCTATCCTGCCAGACTGGCTTTACCCCATCACTTCTACAACTACACTTTGCTTTTTTGTTTTGCCAAAGGAATGATACCTTCATTTAACCGATGTTCCTTTCGCTCCTGGTCAATTGAGTACACTCCTAGGCACAACATGTTACGTATAAGCACGTAACCAGCCCTTATGTGAATGTGGGAGCTTTATCTTGATTCAAAATGTAGGTCGCATTCTTAGCTCCCTGTTGCGTGTTGTGCTGCAGTGTTGAGAGTTGAAAGTATCGGATCGACGGGGCTGGGCTGCAAAACATTCCGGTAGATGAAGGCTTCCTGTGGAGCGCAAGGCAGTGCTTATGGTTAAAT